TGCCTGAGTTAACCAGGTCTCACGAGGCACAGTTCACTGTGTGCCACTCTCTAACGTGCATGTGCTCTTGACAAGGGAACAAGAGCCCACGTGGCCTGATCCACGGTCCACCTGAGATACAGGCACAAGGACCAGTAGCAACAAAGAGCAGAACACCTGTGTGGATGCTGTCAGCCCTGAGTGTCACTTGCAGTTCCCGTCTGGGCCATAAGAGACCCATCCACAGCAGGGATCTGCTCCCAACTCCCCACCATTCCCGCGCCATCTTGGGCAGGACACCAGCCCTCTGTGGCTCTGTCCTCTGAAAACACTGGCCAGTCCATTCCCAGGTGCGACTGTGATGAGCCTGGTGTTCCTCCCTCCTGGAACACACCTGCCCAGCTTCTGTGGAAACGGCGTGAGCCCAGCCCCTAACATGCACACCGGCCTTGTCCATCTGAGGGTTTCTGGATAAAGTAGATCTGGCCCGGCTCAGACTGTCCCTCCAGGGTCCCCCCATCCAGAGCAGCAGCCTGGCCTGGGAATGTCCARGGTCAGAAGCCTCACCTGGAAGAAGGGATGGTTCTTGACCTCCTGTGCCCCCTGGGTACCCGCACCCAATCGCTTCTTAGGGTCCTTGCACAGCAGCCGCTGCAGCAGGTCCTGCGCCACGGGCCCAATCCGGGGGGGGAAGGGAGGGGAGCACTTCAGGATCCGTCTGGGAGGATGGGTGGGGCGTCAGGGGCAGCGAGCCCCCCCCACAGCCCAGCCCAGGCAGGCCCTGCAGCCCCTCGGCCGCCCCCCGCCACCAGCCCACTCACCGGGACACCTCRGCCTGCGTGTTCCTCTCGCCCTCCAGTGTGAAGGGCGAGGCACCCGTCAGCAGCTCGAAGAGCAGGATGCCCAGGCTCCACCAGTCCACCGCCTGCCGAGGCGGGGCAGGGGTGAGGGTGGTGAGGGCCTGTGGGCTCCCACCTTACGCCCCGCCACTACCACCCCAGCCTCCCCACCAACCCACCTTGCCATGCCCCGTCTTGCTACGAATGATCTCCGGGGCCATGTATTCAATGGTGCCACAGAAGGAGAAGGTCCGCTCTTTCTAGAAGATCAAGAGGACCCATTCGTTCATCCACTCCTCTCTCGCACCCCAGTGGCCTCCAAGGCTCAGAGCAGGACTTGCTCAACTTGCAAGGCCGAGGGTGAAATGGGGGAAACTCCTGGGTCTGTTGACTCTGCACCCCCAGAATGCAGACAGGGAACAGGAAGAGACGGGCAGGGAAAGGCCTGAATGAGGGAAGCTCAGCGGAGACTACACCCCGCTCACCTCTTCCGTCAGGAACTCTTTGCTCAGGCCGAAGTCCGTGAGGACGATGTGGCCCTCGGAATCCAGCAGCACATTCTCCAGCTTCAGGTCTCGGTAGATGATGCCCAGCTGGCGGGAGCAAGAGGGGAACTAAGGCTCCCTCCACAAGACCCTCCCCAGCTCCTACCGCTGGTCTGGTCTGTGCACCAGGTCCCTTGCTCAGAGTCAGGAGAGCCCCAGAGAAGATCATCCACCTGCCAAGGCATCCCTAGGGCAAGAAGGGGCCCAGGGTGCAGCTGCACCATTAGATTAAAAAGAAGCCACTGAAGATCAAAGGAAATCAAGGAGKGAGGGGGCCCCCGCAGGACAGGCTCTGAGGTCCCCAAGAAAGGAGGCCGTGTGAAGAGCCCAGGCCTCGGGAGACAAGTCAGAAGTCTCCGTTTGAGGAAGTTCTTGAAGGCAGCCCGGAGTTCCTGGTGAGAGGAAAGCCCCTTCCAGGAGGCACCAGGGGAGGGGACCCCACCAAGCAGCACTGAGGCTTCCTGCCAGGAGGCCTGGGGAAGCAGCTCTGGTCCCCACCAAGGCCACCACCCCACCCCCCGGAAGCCCAGGGTGTGAAATGAGACTGCCTCTTTGGAGGCCCCTCATTCAACCAGACCCAGTTCCTATGACAGCAGCCGGGAARCTGGGTTCTCACCCACCTTGTGCAGGTGTTCCAAAGCCAGCACGATCTCACCCCCATACACGCGCACCTCSGCCTCCTTGAAGTACTGGCGCTGGTAGAGGTGGGTGAACATCTCACCGCCACTCACATAGTCTGAAGGTGCACTTGGTGGTTAGACTCGGCCCCCTCAGGTGGCCTCACCGGCCCCCATTCCCCCAAGTTGGTATGTGGCCGTGCCCTCACCCAGAATGAGGTGCAGCTTGGCATCGGTTTGGAAGGCGTAGTGCAGCGTGACCAGGAAGGGCGCCTGGCGCACCAGCTCCAACACAGAGCGCTCGGTGCGCGTGTGCTCCTGCGTCTTGGCGCGCTGTACCAGCGCCGCCTTCCGCAGCACCTTCATGGCATACAGCTTCCCCGCGTCGTGCCCGCCCGCCTTTCGCACCAGGAACACCTTCCCGTAGGCTGTGGGAGCAGCGAGTGGGTGGAGGGTGGGCTGTGAGTGGGAGGGCGGTGCAGACTGGTGGGAATGGGGGTGATGCCAACCCAGAAGGGTGTGCACGCTGCGGCACGTGTGCCAAAGGCTGGCAAAGCCTTCTAAGGAAAAGGTGTGCACATCTCCGGAGGGTGCTCAGCAACACCAGAGAAGGGACATGCAAACCAGCCTGGGGCAAGAGCAACTCCAGGGGCTGGGGGTGGGGTGGGGCACATGCAAACCTGCCAAGCTCAGAGGGATGGAAAGGGATGCAAGTGGAGGAAGGGCAGCAGAGGTGCACTCCTGGCCAGAGGAGGGAGGTGCACACCAAGATAAGGAGTTTGCAAAATGTGGGCCGGTGCTGTCACAGAGGGGAGGAGCTGTGCAAATCACTTGGGATGGGTGCATGATCCCAGGGAGGCTGGCGAGTGGCAGCAGGGGGCATGCACACGCAGGATCTTGCAGGGAGTAATGATGTCAACGTGGAGCGCCCTAGAAGTGGGCATGAAACCCTGGCACAGTAGGGTGGGGCTGGCAGGGAGAGCTGTGCCGGGAAAGGGTGGGGGGCCTTCCCGGTGGCCTGGCCCAGGCCCAGGCGGGAGTGCGGGCTGGAGGCACAAGGCACTATGCCTGGGGCACCTGCAAGGTGGCCAGGGTCCTCACCTCCCGTGCCCAGCACCTTGAGCAGCTCGAAGTTCTCCACGCTCACCTTCTCCTCGTGTCCGGTCAGGTTGGCTGCGGGCACAGGGGGCGAATGAGCCCAGTCGGCCCCTGRCCCCTCATCGCCTGCCCAGGGCAGCCACCACCAGGCCCCGCACCCACCTTCGATGATCTGCAGTTCTACCGCGCAGCCCTCGTCCTCATCCTCGTCCCCCATGGCGGGCGGGTCGCTGGGGCCCGCGCGGCTCGGGCTCCGGGCGGCGCCGGTTACATGGCGGCTCCCGCCGGGGCGGGCGCTTCCTGGTGCCGCCTCCGGGGCCGAGCGGGCGCCGGCACCGCCTCCCGGCTCCCCGCCCCGCTCGGCCTAAGTCAGGCGGCTGGAACGTGACAGCGCAGGGCTGCGGGTGGGCAGCCAGCGGAGGTGGCCCTGTGTCCCCAGCCTGGGGCAGGCSCCGGGGCGGCGCGCTCTTGAGTCCCACTCGACCTGCCCCGGGGAACTGAAATGGCCCAGTGTGGCTGCTGGGGCCTGGCCCCCAAGCCAAGTGCTCATTCAGGATGCCCCCTGCAGCCAGTGGTGTCCAGAGCCCTGGGGAGGGGTGCCCACACAACCTCCCTTCCACCAGTGCCAGCCCCGAGGGCAGAGGAGCCACTCTGTTCAATTCTCTCCATACCCAGCAAGAGTGAGCCACTTAACAGGGGTTAACCCACCACCTCCTCACCCTTTTTTTCTCTCCATGCTGGGGATTGAACCCCAGGAAACTCAGCCACTGAACTACATCTCCCACCCCCTTTATATTTTTTATCCTGAGACAGTTTCACTCATTTGCCCAGGGTGGACTTGAACTTGCCACCCTCCACAGGCCTGCAAGGATGCGCTCAGAAGCTTCCCTTTTGGTCACTCCTTGACTGTTTACCTGAGAGACCAGCAGGCCGAGGCCAGCTGCTGCCTGCCCAGCCTCAGACAGCTCCTGTCCCTCCAGGGGTCCTCTGGCTCTGGATGCCAGGAAGGCCAAGAGAGTGTTGGACCTGGGCCTCAGGAAGGAATACCTGGCTGGGGCATGGCTCACTGGCCAGCACTCACCTGGCATGCACGAGCCCTGGGTTCAGTCCCCAGCACCAAAGCCACACAGGGGAAGTCCCCTCTCCCACCAGGCCCAGAGCCCCTGGCTGGCCYGGCCTCCAGAGACCACCAAGCAGGGCTGGGCAGCCACAAGAGCCCCTAACCCTAAGACCTCCAGGAGGGGTCCCTCAGCTCTTCTGTCCACCGGAGGGCAGCGGCCTGCCCTGACTCCACCCTCCTGTGGAGAGGAGGGAGGAGCCACRCCTCCCAGCTCAACCTGCCCCCAGATTCAGCCTGCCTCAGGTCAGCCCCCGGCAGCCCCGCCTTCCCCGGGGTGGCTCCAGGTACACTGACTCACATCCTGTCACCAGCCTAATTGCCTCCTTCTCAGGTGTCATCCTGGAGGTCCTGATCAGAGTCCCAGTGTCCCTCCCAYCACTGGTGGCAGCTCCTGGTTCTAGATGACACTCCACCTAGTGAGCTGTGAGCTACCCAAGAAAGGCCTCAACCCARAGGGGTGGGGGAAAGATGAGGGGGCCAGAAGACATGAGGGGAGAGGAGGGGGCCCCGGGGAGGGCRGGCAGGGCCACGGGGAGCACACTACCCTGCGGCCCAGAACCCGGGCCCAGGCCCCAGCCACAGCTGGCTGCCCAGCACACCCCACCCTTCACACCCATCGGCACYTCCAGGCTTTGGCAAGCCTGACTGGCTACATCCCAGTGCCCTTTGCTGCCCTGTCCACCCAGGGCCATCCGGCCGCAGATCCGCAGAAGGACTGGACCTAAAGGTGTTCCTGGAACCTCCAGCTCGTGGATGCAGCCAACAGAAGGCACAGACTCGGATGGTCACAGCCCAGCTTTATTCTCATGTCCCCCCAACCCAGGCTCAGAGATCAGCCCAGGTCACAGTCCCCAGGGAGTGGGCCTTGGCTCCCCGTCTGGACCTGGCAGGGGGTTCTCTTGCCCACTCCTGAGAGTCTCCTTCAGCTGAGGGATCCCCCAGAGACCGCCTCCTCAGTGATGACCGCAGGGCCGCACTCGGGGCCACTCGTGGGCCGTCCCCAATACCCACCAGCTTGTCCCAACCCCATCTAGGGGCTCCAGGGCAGGCCGTGGGGAATTCAGGGACCCAGGCCTCTTTGTGCAAAGACTGCCCTGGGGTGCCCTGGCTCCCGGAGCTCGGGGACGGTCCCGGAACCCCACTGACACTCCAGCGGCGAGTAGAATGGTCTCGCGAGCTGACTGTCCCCGAGTTGTCACTCGCTGAGGGAAGGGGTGAGGGGATGTTTCTCCGGCTCCGGCTCCTCAAGGCCTGGAAGAAAATGCTCAGCTCAGGCCTGCCTCCCTCGGGAGGATGCCCAGACTCCCGGGGACCACAGGGGCCCCACACCTTCTGCCCACCCTGGGTCTCCTCCAGACAGGCCGCACTGGCCAGCCCTGGAACAGGCCAGGCCTTCCTTCAAGCTGTACTCTCGCTAGTCCCCAAGCACACTGTCACCTCCAAGTCTGCTCCAACCTCTCCTCTCCGAGGCCACTGCATTCCTCATGGAAGCCACAGGTGGCCTCTCGCACCCCCCATTTCTCCCATGCCCCACTTCCTTCCCTGAGCATTGTCACCTCGACATTCTAGGGTGACATGGTCTGAGGGGCTGGGGCTGAACTCCATGTGCATCCAAGGGAAATACCCACTGGACTTCAAAGACTCGGGAGGAAGAAATAATGTCAATGTCTCACGRTGACCTTCTATAGGACTACATGTTGAAATGGCAACATTCAGGCATATTGAGTTCAATAAGGTCACGTTATTTTTTTATAATATTTACCTCTTCAGTTTTTAGGTGGATGCAGCATCTTTATTTCACATTTATGTGGTGCTGAGAGTCGAACCCAGTGCCTCACGCATGCTAGGCGAGCGCGCACCACTTGAGCCACATCCCCAGCCCCCAAGATAATGTTATTAAAATTCATTTTACCTGTCTCTTTTTACAGGTGATGAAGCTATTAGAAAAGTAAAAACTGCTCATGTGGCTCCTATCCTTCCATTGGGCAGGACTGTTGTAGATAATAATGATTTTTTTTCGGGGCAGATTGGCGGGGAGTGCCGGGGAATAACTCAGGGACACTCGACCACTGAGCCACATCCCCAGCCCTATTTTGTGTTTTATTTAGAGACAGGGTCTCACTGAGCTGCTTAGCACCTCTCCATTGCTGAGGCTGGCTTTGAACTTGGCATGCATCTTGTTTCTGTCTGCCTTCCTACACCAGAAAGTCCCTTGCTATATCGGCAGTAGCACACCACCTGGCACTTTGTCATGGATCCTTGTCAGATGAGAAAATGAATGAATGAAGTCCATCTCCCAGGGGCCCAGCGAGACAGRCCCCCGATCCTTCCCCACTCACCCTCTCGGCTGGCGTCGGCTTCATGTTCCTGGAGTGTCTTATTGGGACCATCCCATTCCACGACAGGTCCTGGGGGACACAAGGCAGCCGCTGCGCCCATGGGGCCAAGACAGAGGACAGGAAAGAAGTCCCCTCTGCCAAGGCGGTGGGCACACAGGGAGTTGGGGGCTCAYGGGGACAAGGATCTTTCCCCTCACCTTTGCCATGGGCACTGGGTGCTCCCAGGGGGCCTGGACGGCGCTGGCGGAATCGCTCCCGGGGGGTGTCCCCTGGGCTGAATGACTCGGAGCTTCGCCCCACAGGGAACCGCGAGCTGAGTTTCCGCCGCTGTCCCCCTGCCAGGGTCTCCTCACGTAGGCAGAGGGAGCTCTGGGCCCGGCGCATGGGTGCCGGTGAAGGGGACCCTGTGAAAGGCACAGCAGGGAGGTGTCAGGGAAGTGCAGGGGTGCCAGGCGCGCARAGGCGGCCGTGGGTGAGGCTGCCCAGGACCAGGGAGACAGGCGACAGCGCAGAGCAGGGGACAGGCGGACGAGGTGGCCACAGGAGGCCCCRGGCTGGCTTGGAGCTGACTCGCTGCCTCACCTTGGGCAAGGGACCTCCCTCCCTGGGCCTCAGTGTCCTCTATCTAGGATAAATGACCTCTCTCTAAAAAGACCCTGCCACCGCAAGGTCCTAGGATGGGGTAGGACTGGGTGGGTGACAGCAGACAGGAGGAAGGGCCAGCAAGAGGAACCCCGAGAGCCCAGGACAAAAAGTGGCTGGAAGCATCTGGACAGGTGGGGGTGGGCAGCAGGGAAGGCCAGCAGGGACATGGGTACAGGCAGGCAGTAAGGCAGGCACCATTAGGGGGACATGGGGTAGGGACCTCCTGGTCACCTGGCCCCCAGACCCACCTGTCCCATCCGCCTCCCTGCCCTCGGGGAGCTCCGTCTCCGGGGGGCCCCCCAGGCTCTCGGTGCTGCCAGCCCCATCGGCCCCCAGGCGTGGCCCCCCATGGGGGACCCCCTCCCTCCGGGGCCGCATCAGCCTCTTCACCTTGTCTGCCAGCCAGCTGCCCTTCCTGGGGGCAAGAGGGCACAAGAGGGCGTAAGGACGGGAGGCAGGAGGGAAGGCGGGTGGTCAGGGATGGCAAAGGCCAGGCTAACCCTCACTAGGGCCTGCCCCTGAGCTGGGCCAGGGGTTGGAGGACAGGGCAGGCAGGGGCCCAGGTGGCAGGACCCCAGCCCCAGGGAGGCGAGGGGGCCTCACTTGGTCCGGGGCAGGGGCCCAGGCTCTAGCACGCGGTACTGGTCCATGATCTTCTCCACCAGCTTCTGCTTCTCCCGGCGCAGGGCATTAAGCTGGTCCCTGGGAGGAGTGGGGGGCGGGGGGATGAGGCCCTGGAAGGCCCAGGTAGGAGCTAAGCTCAGTAGAAGGTGCCCGCGTGCAAGTGTGCTGGTGAGACTAAGCCTGGGTGCTGGGTCTGGCTCTTTTCCTGGGACCTCCCGGGCTCCCCATGCAGCCCCCCAGGAGTGCCGCGTGCCGCCAGTGCCTGCTCACAGGTACTCCCGCTGCTCGCGGTGCAGGTGGTCCCGGCTCTCCAGGCTGCGCTCCAGGAGCTCCCTGTTCTCCCGGCTCAGGGCCTGCACCTCGGCCAGCAGCTGCCGGTTCTCCTCTTCCTGGGCACTCCGGAGCTCGGTCAGCAGCTGGCAGGTGGTGGCACTGGTCAGGAATGACTGTGGTGCAGGGCGGCCTGGTGGGCCCTCCCAGCCACCCTGCAGGCTGGCCACCCGGGGCCGCTGCCACCGCCCACCACACCTCACACTGCGTGGTCAGCCGGCAGGCGCTCAGGTCCAGCTGCTGGTTGGACTCACGCAGCTGCTGGCTCTGCATCTCCAGCTGCGCCCGCTCCAGCTCCAGCCGGGCCAGACGACCCCGCAGTTCCCCACGCTCRCCCTGCAGCTCCCCTCGCTCCCGGGACACCTCTGCCAGCAGCATCTGGGCTCTTTGGAGGCAAAGAGAGCTGCTTTCCAAGGGCCAGAGGGTCCAGGCTGGGAAGAGGCAAAGCAGGCCCACAGGGACAGTGACCACCCACTGGGGACCACTTCACAGAGGGGAACCCTGAGCCCAGATTGTGCAGGGGAGGGCAAGAGGCCCAGGCTGGTACCTCTCATGCTCACTCTGCAGCCTCCGCAGCTCTTCCTCCAGGCCCCGCTGTCGATGGCCATCCTGCATCAGGCGGTCACGCTCCGCCTGCAGGGCCACCTCCTGAGCCTCCACATTGGCCCTCTGGGCCTGCAGCTGTTCATGCCTGAATGGACAAGGGACTGAGAGGACTGTGGAGCCCTGGGGCCATGGCAAGTGGGTGCTGACTTGTCTTGACCTGGGGTCTGTCGTCTCCCAGGCATTGGTAACCAGATAAAGCCACAGGGCACGACGCCATTTGGGGGTGCCACCACTCCCAGCAGAGGAGCCCAGCCATGTGGGAAGCCCATGCCCCCAAGAGGGCACAGCAGCAGCTAAGGACATCAGAGGACAAAGGTGGGGAACAGGTGTGGCTTCCTGGTGGGTCAGACTTGCCAGGAACCTGCTCTGGGTAAGGGGGGGGAGCTGGAGGGAGGAGCCACGTCCTCAGGGGTGCGCACCGGCCCTGCAGCTCCCGGTGGGCCAGCTCCAGCGCCCGCATGTTGGCCTTGAGGTCTCGGTGCCGTGCCAGCAATCCCTCCAGCTCTGTCTCCTGCCGCCGCTGCAGCTCTGCCAGCGCCTCATGGTCCCGCAGCAGAGCCTGCTGCTGCCCGCGGGTCTCCTCCTGGGACCGCCGCGCCTCCCGCACCTCTTCCTCCAGCACCCCCAGCTTCCTGTGCAGCTCCTGGCCCTGCATTGCCAGCATTGACTTCTCGGCCTAGGACCAAGGAAGGAAGGAGCCTTGTGGTGGAACCCCAGGCCTAGTAGGGGGTACAGGAAAGGGGCCAAGGGCAGAGGACTGGGGCGGGGACAGCTGAAGGCCAACTAAAGAGGTTAATGGGCCAGAAGAGGACAGAGGCATCCTGGGGACTGGGTGGCGCCAGATTGTGCAGGGGAGGGCAAGAGGCCCAGGCAGAGATGGGATAGAGGGGGGCCAGCGTAGGCCACGGGGGAAGGAGTGAGGATAAGGGCTGGCTGCAGAGGAGAGGGTAGAGATGGGAAACGACAGGGTGAAACGGGTGCAGCTGTCGGGGCTGGGGACTGGGATGGGGAAGAGTGCAGAACAGGGCAATGTAGGCATAAACGAACTAGGGAATGGCAGCYAGCTAGTTCCCTGGGGGAGTGGGGAGGGAAAGGGGCATAAAATAATACCAAAGGGCGGGAGCCAGGGTCAACCCGGCCGCGCCCACCTGCAGGCGGTTGCTGTGCTCCTGGGCCCTCTGACTCTGCAGCAGCAGCTCCTGGGCCTGGCCCTGCAGACTTCCCAGCTGCCTCTCCAGGTGCTGGAGGTGCCCCTGCAGAGCCACCTTCTCTGCCACCAGTGTCGCRTTCTGCCCCGAAAGGAAAGTTAGAGGTGGCCACAGAGCTGACCCCCCACCCGCACCCTAAGACCCATACTCACGCTGCGCTCCACCTCGATGAGCCGCCCGCTGTGTGTCCTTGTGATCGGAAGCTCAGCACGCTCCTCMGTCTCCAGACCCCCAGAGTCCTGGCGCAGCTGTAAGGCAGTGGGGACGGTCATGCAAGTGGCAGTGGCCACATGGTGATGGCACAGGGACGATCACTGACTCGCTGTGATGGCACTAACTGGGCTCACTGGAAGGTGGCGGAGCCCAGGCCAGACAAGCACAGCAGCCATTTCAAGCAGGGGTTCCATCCACTTGAGGAACAGGGGAGACAGGCCCCAAAAAGGCCTCACAGCCGCCTGACTCCCAGTCCAGTGCTGCTTGCCAAGAAGCCAGGGAAGGCCAGGGGCAGCAGCCCTGGATGACGGCTGGCAAGGCCCGGTCCCTGGGCCTGGCCTCACCCGGAAYAGCTCCTCTTGCAGCTGCAGGGTCCGGTTCTTGAGCTCCATCAATGCTTCCTCCTTGCTGGTGGCCGCCGCCTGCAGCTCAGCTTCCAGCCGCTGCTCCAGGCCCCGGTACCTGCCAGGAGAGGCCTTGGCACCCAGCCCGTGGCTCTGCCCTTCCCCATGCCCCTGCCTGCCCTCCTACCCCCGGGCGCCACCCCCACCTCTGCTGCTGGTTCTCCTGTTCCTGAAGAAACTCCTGGCGCTCCAGCGCTGCCCGCTCCAGGTCCTGCTGCAGGTGCTCCAGCCGGGCCCCCAGCTCGCGGCCCCGCATCATGGCCTTCTCCAGCTCCTGAGGGCAGGGGAAGGCTCAGGGGGCAGAGGCGTGGGGCCTGACCCAGGGCAGAGGAGGGCTGGGGTGAGGCATGGGAGTGGGAGGGCTGCTTTCTGCCCTGGCTCTGCCACTCGGGGCAGATGTCCCCAACCCTTTGGGTCTCTGTCTCTGCTCCCCCATCTGTAAAACAGGAGCCAAGTCTGGCGGCCTGTAGGGTGCACATGAAGGAGCTGGGGGTTGYTCGCCCGGAGAGGGAGACGCGAGCTGCGCCAAGTCTTCACCTCTCGCAGCCCGTGGTTCTTTCTCGTGTACACAGGGAGAGGGGCATGTGCCCTGCGCAGCCTCACACCAGCCATGTGAAGGCAACAGGGACTCGGCACAGGCCTGGAGCACGCCTTCCACCACAGGGGGATGGCCACAGAGGGCTGGCAGGACGAGAACTTGGGGGTTCCCAGGCCTAACCACAGTGGAGGCCTCAAGGGTGGGTCAGGGCCTGTGATCTTTGGCGGTTGGGCCGCACCATTTCAGGGGGAGCGGGTGGGAGGCCTCTTCTGGCCTGCGGGCCCCAGAGGGATGTCGGCCAAACCATTCTGACACATGGGGGGACAGGCAGGCAAGAGTCCACACTGACGGGTCACCTGCTACAACCTGCTGCTAGAAACCAACCCTGCAGCCTCTGCTGCTGGTCCTGGCCTAACAACCCACCCAGGCCCCAGAGGGGGCACTGCACTTCCCCCCATCGGTGGCCATGGCCTCTTTCTAAAAAAAACTACAAGTCCCACAAGGCACTGCTGCCTGGCCAGCCACCAGTGACCTCTAGGGCCCAAGTACCGCTGGCTGGGAGAGAGGGGATGTGAGGCCCATAGCCTCAGCCCTGGCCCCAGCCTGAGAGGCTTCTACACCCATGTGGACCACCCCAGAGGCCCCTGGTCCCCTGCCTTCCCCAGCCAGACGCTCCTCCTGGGCCACACCCAGGTAGCACCAGGAACTGCTCCAACCAGGAAATCACAAAATTCCCTGCGCCCAGCGGCTTCCACCCTCTAGGTCCTCCGAGCCAGCACTCTCAGCCCACCAGGCTTACCCCACCCTCCCTGCCCCACTATGGGCTCCCTCTTCCTGTCCTGATGAAGCACACAGTGGGGACCAGGCCCTACCCCAAGCTCTGGGTCCATTATAAGATCCTGCATGTCCGGTAAAGTTCTATTCCAGTTTTACAAGTGAAGAAACGAAGGCTCAGAGAGGCAAAGTACCCTGTCCCAAGCCACACAGCTGAAAAGCAGGGATTTGGGGATATGATGCAGTTCCTGTGGCCTGACAGAATCTCTTGGTGACACCCCGCAGAGTCCACTCCAGAGACAGCCTCTCCACACCCATCCTCCCATTCCCAACACCCCTCAGGGAGCAGCTGCCCTGCCTAAGCCCGAACTCCAGTCCACCCAAGGGTCACCCAGAAGGACATGAGCAATGACGCCTCCTCTCTGGATCTCAGGTCCCCGTCTGTGCGGCAGAACGGACTGGACGCTCTTCACGGCAGAACTCCCAATTCCTCCCCCGAGCGCCCCCAGCRCGGGCACCTATGGGCCCAACTGCCCTCCCCATGGCCCTGTGGTGCCCTCTTTCCCTGAACAACCTCTCAATGGGCACTGACCACTTTGCCCATCTGACACCTCCAGTGGCGGCCCACTCCCTGGAGGGGAAAATGCCAACCTCTTCCTTAGCTGGGAAAGAACCTAAACCCCAACCAGCAGGACCCTGCTCGGCCCCTCTCCACCTCACCTCTCCACCCGCCTTCCCCCCTCCCACAACTGGGCCTGCCCTTCGCCCTCCTCCTCCAGGAAGCCTTCCCGGATGTGGCCCTCCCAAGTCCCGGCTGCGGGCTGGACTCCATGGCTCTGCCACCTGGCATGTAAACATAGCCATGCCAGCTGCCCGGTCACCACTGTGTGCCCACACCTGGTACGGTCTGGCACCACACAGATGCTGCTAAAACATGTATAAACGAACAAATGCAACTTTTTCCAGGCCTTCCTTCTCTCTCCTCTGTCCCTGTGCCAGCCACCTGCAACCCTGCTACTGCCTCCGGATGGCCCAGACCAACTGAGGTGACCCTCCTCAAACAGAACCCCACACTCTCACCCTTGAGCGGTTTTCCCTGCTGAGGATGGAGTAGCAACACCTTCCAAGCTGACCCCAGGCCCCTGCTCCTGGAGGGCCCCTGAGCATCCTGAAGGCTTTAAAGTCCTGCACCTTTGTAACCTCAGTGATTCAAAGGCTGAGGCAGAGGACCACACGTTCAAGGATGGACTAAGCAATTTAGCAAGACCCTCTCTCAAAAAAAAAAATAAAAAGGGTTCCTCCCTGAAGATTCTTCTTTTTTTTTTTTTTTTGGTACTGGGGACTGAAGCCAGGGATGCTTTGTCACTGAGCCACATCCCCAGCTCTTTTTAGTTTTTATTTTGAGACAGGGCCTTGCTAAGTTTCTGAGGCTGGCCTCAAACTTGAGATCCTCCTGCCTCAGCCTCCTGAGTCACTGGGATAACAGGTGTGCCACCATGCCCAGCTGAATAACCATTTCTTGGTCACTTTCAACATGCCTTGACCCAGCAGGAACTGGGTCTCTACACCATATCTCAGCCTTTCAAAGAAGGGCTGAGACAACAAGGACTAGACCCCCCTGTTACAGGAGGAGGCACTGGTGTGGAGGTGAGAAAACTGCTGTAGCCCAAGCACAGTGATGGTACCCAGAGACTCACCCCTCCTGCAGCCACCCCATCATCGGCACAGCCTCCAACTGTGTCCTGGGAGGGGGGCGGGGGTGGACCTGGCCTTTCTGTCTCAAGCCCCAGTTTGGTGCTGGGCACTCAGTGAAATCTATAACCCAAACCCCAGCAACCAGCCTGGAGCCCGTTTTTCTACCCCGGCCGTGAGCCCTGACGGACGTACCTCACTGAGGGCCTGCTTTTCCCGACGCTCCCTCTCGACGTCCTCCAGGTAGCCGCGGCCCTGGCTCTCCAGCACCTGCACGCGCTCTTCAGCAGCCTCAGCCCTGGCCCRCAGCCTGGGTCCCTCGCGCTCCCACTGCCTCCGCTCTCGGCCTATGGCCGCCAGGGCTTCCGCCAGAGCCTCCCGCTCCCTCAACGCAGCCTCCAGCTCCTGGCCAGATGCCTCCACTGCCTCCCGCAGCCGGGCTTGCTCCTGGGCTTGGGCCTCTGCCTCCCGGTGGGCCTCAGCCTCTGCCCTCCGTGCTTGGGCCAGCTCCTCAGAGATCTGGGCAGCCTCCAAGACTCGGGCCTCCAGCCTTCGGGCCTGGGCCTCCAGCTCAGCCCTAAGGGCCACAACCTCTGTCCTCAGCCGCATCACCTCCTCCCCGAAGRCCTCCTGCTCTGGGATACTACTGGCCAGAACCTCCCCTGGGGTCAGTCCCTCCCAGGGCTGGACATCAGGAGCCCCTTCCAACTTCTGCATTGGTTTTTGAGGAGCCAGTTCCCTGACTGCTCTCTCCAGCCTCTGTTCATGTCCTCCGTCCTCTGTTTGTGGCTTGGATAGGTCCAACCCCTTGCCCAGGGTCTCCTGCTCCTCTAGCAGCACACAGAGGTTGAGCTCTGAGGATCCCCGCTTCTGTTCAGGGCCCTCCTGTTGCAGATCCTGGGCCTCAGCCCCYGACCCGCCCTGGGGAGCCCCTCTCCCCCCAGTCTCTCCTTCCAGCAACTGCTGCGTGTCAAGTTTGATCTCTGGTTCCTGAAGAGGGACCACAGAGATGGGCCTCCRGAGACAGACTCCAGGGTCATCTTTCTCCAAGGACCCCCGTGTCTCCACAGTAGGGTCTGATTCTTGGGCAGCCACGTCGGAGGTCTGGRGGGCCGTGGCAGCCACAAGGAGGGGCCTCTCTGTCACTTCTAGGTCTGAATCTGATGCCTGGAGACACTCAGCTGACCCTTTGAAAGCTGAGTCCGATGTCAGGGGAGCCAACTGGGGACCTTGATGCCTGACCTGGCAAACCAAACCCTGGGAGCTGTGGTCTGAGGCCAAGGGAGTCCTGGGAGCTGCATCCAGCACAGGAAGCACAGGGTCCTGGCTCTGCTCCTCCAGCAGGGGGCGCTGAGAGCATAGGAGAGAGTCAGCCAGCCCCAAGGAGGACAAGGTGGGGCCAGCTAGGACGGTGGGGGGGACTCACCTGGCCACCTAGCTGTCCCTGCAGCACCTGAAGCAAGCCTCGAAGCTCCTGATTCTCCCTCTGGAGGGTCCGCAGCTGACCAGCCTCAACCTCCCTCATCTCATCTTGCAGGGAAGGGGCAGCTCCTTGCAGGGGTGCTGGGAGGGTGGGACAAAGTCAGGACTCCACCCACATTCCCCAGCTCCTCACACAAACCCCATAAAGACCTGGAGGAAAGAGGGGCATAAAGGCAGAACCCCTCCCATTACAGCTGCAGAAAACACAGGCAGCCCCCCCATCCCTCACTTCGTGGCACCCCTCACCTTCCACAGGGGACCCGGGGATTGGTTCCAGCTTCCTCTGAAGCTCCAGCTCCAGTTCCACATTCTCCTCTGCCAGCTGGTCCACCTGATGTCGCAAGGAGTCCACCTCCTAGGGGTGGAGGGGGCAGAGTCAGACCAGCCTCCCCCACCATGGAGAGACCAAGTGTGGGGGCTGCAGCATTGCTAGAGGGTGCACCAAGAGTAGGGGTCACAGGGATCCTGCGGTCACAGGGAGAAGAGCAACAGGTCAACCCAGCAGGGATCATTCAGGCAACCTCACCGACAGGGCCTCGCCCAGCCGGGTGTGCAGCAGCAGATTCTCCCGTTGGGTGTGGTGCAACCGGGCACAGCGGTCTTTGGCGGCCTCCAGGTGTTCTTCCAGCAGAACCTTGGAAGCCTCCAGGGCCCCTGAGAGCACCCGTGCTTCCTGGTAGGGGACACAGAAGTCAATGGTGGGATGCAGCCCCATGCACTTGGGACCTGGAGGATCCCAACCCCTTTCCCCTGGGCTCACCATAGACCCTGGGACCCTCCCTTGCCTCGCGTCCCTGTCGGTCCAACTCCCTCCAAGATCTCCCCAGGCACCGTTCCCAAGCACACGGCCAGGCCCATTGGTGCAGGCCCAGTAACTTGCCCCCCTAGAACCGCCATTCAGCATCTTTCTGGGTCCTACTCTTCAGTCCCCCCAACTGCCAGGGTCTCATTCCAGACCCACCCCCCTACCCCTGTCCCCACCTTCGTCTCAGGACCCCCTACCCTTACACAGCCCCCATCTCTCCCCTCCGTTGGCTCATCTTCAAGAGGGCTTGCCCCAGACCACCCCCTGCTGGTGTCCTCACCCACCGCCCCTCGCTGTGATGGTCACACACCCCCAATCGCAATAAAGCCCGCCCCTCTTCCCCCCACCGGCCCAATCTCGCCCCGCCCCAGACTCCGCCCCCGGCGGGCCCCGCCCCGCTCCTCACCTCCAACTGGCCCCTGCAGGCCTCGGCCGCCCGCAATCGTTCCCGGCAGCGCCGCAGCTCCTCCTGCAGGCGGGGCAGGCGGGCCACCCGCTCCCGCAGCGCCTCTGCCTCCTCGCGATACAGCTCCGCCCGCTTGGCCTGTCCCGACAGCGCCTGGGCCTGGGCCAGACGGTGCGGAGCTGGGACCAGCCAGGCGCAGACCAGAGAGAGGGACTGGGGACGCGAATGAGCGGGGCTGGAGAGGCCATGGGACTGGACTGGAGGGGAGCCTGGGAGCGCACCTCCTGGCGGAGCCTTCGAATTTCGGCCTCCAAGCCCTGCACCTCCTCCTGGGAGTCTAGCAGCACTTCKGCCTTCTCCTCCCTGAAAGCATGGGGCCATGGAGGGCATCTGAGAACCGCAACGCCCAGCCGGTCCCCAGCCCCGGCCCCTCCCATCCCCAGCGGAGCTGCGACCCCATCCAGGCCTCAGCGGGCCCCTCCTCTCTGGTCCCTCCCCAGCCTGCCGGCACGCACAGCTCTTGCCGCAGGCGCCGCAGCTGGGCCTTGGCATTGGCCAGTTGCAGCGCCAGATGGTGCGAGGAACCCTCCACAGGAGCCTTTGTAGGAGCTTCAGGCAGCAAGGGGGCCCGCTCCCGCTCCAGCATCAGTTCTGCCAGCCTCTGTAGGAGGTCAAGGGTTAAGGGTCAGGAATAACCATCCCATGCCTCCCCACATCTGTTCCCAGCCACCACCACAAGATGAGTCCAGCTGTGACACTGTAATAACCAAGGACCCCAGGCCCTACCCCCAAACCTGGGCCCCAAAACCCACTCCCCTTACACAGCTGTGTCCATGGAGCTCCTGCTGCCCCCTACCTGGGCCCCCAGGTCACGCTCCCTGGCCAGCCTGGACAGCGCCCCCATCAGGCTCCGGGACAGCATCTCCAACTCCGAAGGCGCCAGCTCCCCAGGCTCAGGCCCAGATAGCGCAAGCACTACACCGGCCCCAGGTTGGGTCACCTAGGGGCGCATAGAGGGTGGTTCAGCAGAAGAAGGAGGGTGGCGAGGATGTCCCGGGTGTCAGTTCCAGCCTGTCGACCTGCCCCGGTACCTCCTGGATGGCTGCGGCCAGCTCGCTCTGGACCTCGAGGCTGAGGCCCTGGATGTGGCGGATGAAGAGCTCCCGGTGGTCACACTGCGCAGACAACGCAGCGGGTTGGACGATGCAGGGTCTCCCTCCTCGGCGCCAAAGCTCCACCCTGCCCTTCCCGCCCCTCCTCACCTGCACTGACGCCCCCAACAAYAGCCGAAGGAGGCCTTGCAGCTCCTCCACCGCCTCCTCTGCAGGGCAAAGGGACCAGGATTAGGGGGGGGGGTGCAGAGTGGGGGTAGAGGCAGGGGGCATGGGGGAGAGAGCACCTGAGAAGGGGTCAAACACCAATGTCTGGAGGTCTGGGGGTGGCGACAGGATCAGCAGCTGTAGCTCCTCCTGGAGTGGGGACAGGGATATGAGAGGCSSCYTYCCMMMRGGSMMCCCCCTCCCGGCTCCGCCTTCCTTTCCGACCCCTCACCTGGTAGAAGTCCCTCAGTCGGACCCACAGGTGGTTCAGGTTCCAGACTCTCCAGGCCGCGGGTCCTTCCTGGCCCCTGACCATTCGAGGTCCCCCTCGGGAACTGGGGGAACTGTGGACACAGGTGGCAATGCCGGGAGGTGGGAGAGCGCGAGGTGGGCTTAGGGACCCACCTTCCCAGGAGCAGGCTCCACCTATCATCCTCAGGGTCCTCCCACCAGCCCAGCCGGCCCCCTCCCTGCAGATCCCTTGGCGGCGCCACCAGTCCCTGATGGCCCTTACATGATGCCCAGCACCCGGAGGAGCAGAGCCCCGTCGCTGAGCCGCAGGAACCTCTTCTCTGGGCAAAGGGACCCTCTTTCCTCCTCCTCCTCCTCCTCTGCCTCCTCCTCCTCTCCGACTGGCTCCTCCACCTCCCCCACCAGCCCTGCTAGTCCCAGGGCCTGTGGGGAACAGAGGAGTCAGAAGGACTGGCAGGAGAGCCCCAGCAGCAGAGTGAATCCTGGACCCCTCTAACCTGCCCCCAAAGAGCCCCAGGACCCCTCCTCCTCGATGTTCTATCCTCCCCATCCTCCCATCAGCACGTTTTAGACCCGGTTCCAGTGACCGGCCCCCTGGACTTCCCTCGACCGCAGCCACACTCGGTGCAGCCCCAGTGCCTGCCGGCGGCTCTCACTTCCCCTCCCTAGCCCCGCTCCCACCTGCCCCTCACCCAGGTGGCCAGACTCCCATTCAGGAAGTCTCTGAGTCTGGGCCCCTTGCCCCCCTCCATGCCAGGGTCAGGGAGCCCTCCTGCTGTGGCAGCTACACCTGCCCTGAGAGGAAGAGGAAGTCCCCGACAAGGGGATCCCAGGCCCGGCCACAGACACCCTGTGCAGCTTCCTCCTTCCGGGTTCAGACAGCCAGGAGCCCCTGGAGTCCTGCTATAGTTCCCCCCACACCGCACAGGCCACTAGCCTCCTCCCAGCGACTCAGCCAGGGCTGACCCCAAGGTTAGCCAGGGGAAGGTCCACAGTGCTCCTGGCTCCTGGCCGGTGATGGAGTCCTCTGCATCTCTGGGCCTAATTTCTCCAGAGAGGTAACCTTAGTCGGGCACCCTCCAGGGTCATAAAGGGACTCTGGGCTTTGCCTTGGTGTCCTCTGATATGCCAAGACTCTTTCACTAGGACCTACTTCTTCCCCTCCTGATGTTCCTCAACTTTACCCAGATCATCTGCCAAATGCTTCAGCCTGGTTCAGACCCCATCCCTCCCCAAAACAGCCTCCTCTGAACTCCGGATGGGAGTGGGCACCTCTTTTCTTGACCCTGCCCCACCCCCATGCTGTATACACTGGACTGAGACAGAGCTGTGGCAAATGACCGCCGCCGGCCAGGCCTGTTTCCCATCTAGAAAGCAAGCAGATTGGACAGGCCACGCCGCACTAGGATCAGTGGCACGTGTCTCCRAGATAAAGAGGCTCAGAGGACATTCCAGTTCCCCCACTGCTCATTGTGTGGCCTCTGGTCATTCTTCCCCTCCCCCTCTCCATGCTGGACACTGTGCTGGCTGCTGGGATGCAAGGAGCCACACAGTCCCAGTTCCAGGGGATGAACAGGACAATGGGGACCCAGCTGCCACTCAAAAAAGCAACACTGCAGCCATACTAGGGGCTTTGAAGCAGAGTGGACATGACCCTGGTGGTGTGGTCAGGGAAGGCATCCCAGGAGAGGCTTGAGATGGGCATAACTGGGTGGAGTGGGCAAAGTGGTGGGGAGGAAGGGGATTCCAGCAGCTGGAACACAGTGGACCAGGACTGACTGTGAGGCAGCTGGGAGGTGGGGCCACGGGGAGGGTCAAAATCACCACGTCCTGTGGACTCCAAGACCTTCTGCTCTTCCCAGGTGATGGCTCTGAAGTCTGCCACGGTGGCTGGCTGACTGGCCGCTGTCCTGAAGCTGCTGTCATTAATGGCACATGCCCACACTTCTAAAACCCCACATGAAATGCTGGAGAGCGGGTGTCAGCAGCTTGAAGAGACCCCCAGAGGCTCTGTGCTGCCTTATCCTGGCATCCAAATGGGGGGAGCAGGCAGGGGAAGGGCCGGCTCCGGGCAGCCCAGGCAAAAGTGTGTAGGATGGTAAAACTGGCTGCGGGTCCCTGGCCACCTGCGGGTGTTTGCTGGGTTGTCTGAAGGAGGGCTGTTCCCTCCAGCCTCCTCGAGGGCTCAGAGGAGGAGTTGGCCTGGAAATGCACCAGCGCAATGACTCTCCTGCCAGAAGTGATTTGCAGAGCTGCACTCTCAATGCGAAGCCACAGGGAACACAGTAGTCACCCATTTATTTTAATTCTGTTATCCGTTTTATGTGTGCATCATTATTATATATGATGAGAATGTACATCGAAGTCAAACAGAGATCTTACGGGAAATATAAAATAAAAATTCAAGTGACGAAAGAGACAGGTGACTCGGTTAACTGGCAGCATCCTTTTTTTCATCGGTGACATATTTTACAATTGATGACACCTTAGAGTTGGTAAAATATGGGGTGATTATAATAGTAACTATATCAAGCACAGCCTACCACAAGCCAGACATGATTATAATTATTTACACTCATTAATTTATTTGCTCTGGAGTAGTCTTTGAAATGAGGACTTCAGGTTATTTCCACTTTACAGAGGAAGACACCAAGGCACAGAGAGGTTAAGAAACTTGCCTAAGAACACACTGCTATTAAGTGGCAGAACCAGCTGAGAGGAGATTGTGGGGCCAGGGTGCAAAGAGTAAGGGGCACAGTGGCCCAGGTGAACTGGGTAGACCAGGCAACAGGAGTTCACCCATTAGAAGAGAAGCACCTCTGGTGAACCTTGTATATGAACCTGAAAATGGGGATAAACTTCTCAGGAAGTTTCAAGGACTCTAGGAGCTGGTACCCAGGACAACCATCCATTAAATGGTCCCTGATTGGTCATTACCATTAGGTTTGGGGAGTTTTTAAAATTTATTTTAAGTTGTTGAYGGACACAATACCACAATACCTTTATTTTATTTATTTTTGTGTGGTGCTGAGGATCAAACCCAGGGCCTCACACCTGCTAGGCAAGTGCTCTACCTCTGAGCCCCAGCCCCAGCCCGGGGAGTTTGGTTTGGTTGGTCCTGGGAATTGAAATCTGAGGTGCTTTACCATTGAGCCACATTTCCAGTGCTTTCTATTTTTTTATTTTGAGACAAGGTCTCGCTGAGTTACTTAGGGCCTCGCTAAGTTGTTGAGGCTGGACCCCAAGTTGACATCCTCCTGCCTCAGCCTCGCCAGCCACTGGGAYTACAGGCGTCCAGCCAGATTTGACCCTCTGTGAATCTCATTCCAATTTGCATCCCCCAAGGGCTCCCCSCAGGAATTTCTTAGGAGCTCCCTTGCTGTGTCAGCCCAGCAGGTCTCCAGGGCCCCCAGGTGAGGGGACTGGGGCTTACCTCCTGCGGCAGAGGGAGGCTCCCTGCCTTGCTCAGTCTCTCTGAGTCATGTGCTTCCCGGAGCCTCCGAGGCAGGGCTGTGGCGTGGCGCAGATGGCTCTCACCTCCGCCCCTCCGCCCCTCCACACCGGCCAGGCTGCATTTCTGGCTTGGCTGACTCAGGCAGCTGAGGGGAGAGGGGGAAGCTGGGGGTGCCCTGGTCGCTCGTACTGGGATCCTGGGATTCTCTGAGCTTCAGTTACCTGTTGGCCACTCAGAGGTTCCCGACTTGGGCCAGATTTTTCCTTCAAACATTTTCAGATAAGTGCACTTGATCAAAACATGTTAAGTTGACCAGACACGGTGGTGCACACCTGTAATCCCTGTGACTCAGAAGGCTGAGGCAGGAGGATTGCAAGTTTGAGGCCAGCCTCAGCAACTTAGTGAGATCCTATCTCAAAAGGAAAAAAAAGAAAGAAAGAAAGAAAGAAAGAAAGAGAGAGGCTGGGAATGTGGCTCAGTGATTAAGCACCCGGGATCCATCCCCAGTACCATATGTGTGTGTGTGTGTGTGTGTGTGTGTGTGTGTATACATATAAAGAAGCCGAGAGCGACAGTGTGCACCTGTAGTCCCAGCTTCTCAAGAGGCAGCAGGAGGAGAATCCCTTGAGTTCATGAGTTCAAGGCCAGCCTGGGCAACATAGCGAGACCCCAGATTTTTTTAAAAAATTATTAAATAAAACTGTCAGGAGTGCCTGAAGGAGCTGGGGGTGTGGCTCAGTGGTAGAGCACTTGCCTCATGCACAGGAGACCCTGGGTTCCATCGCCTGCACTGCAAAAAAAAAAAAAAAAAAAAAAAGATACAGAGCTGGGTGCAGTCAAGAGGCTGAGACAGGAGGATTGTGAGTTCAAAGCCAGCCTCAGCAATTTATCAAGGCCCTAAGCAACTCAGTGAGACCCTGACACTAAATAAAATACAAAAAATAAAAAGGCTGAGATGTGGCTCAGTGGTTCAGTGCCCCAGGGTTCCATTTCTAGTACACCAAAAAAAAAAAAAAAATGTATAAAGAAAAACTCAAAACCCATCACCCCCACTCCCCAGCCAGAGGCCACCACTGGTAGCATTTTCTATGTCCTTCCTGTGGACACAGTGAGCTGGCAAGAAGTGGTTGTGACCACATACGTGGCGCACGCCTTCCTCCCTTCGTAATGAGTTTTGCAATCTCTCTCTCCTTTTTTCTTTTCTTGTGGTGCTGGGGTTGGAACCCAGGGCCTCACACTCTGCCACTGAACTACACCCCAAGCCCCATTAAATTTATTTTTTAATTGACCATTAAAAGTCTACAAATTAGCTGGCRCTGTGGCACACRCCTGTAGTCCCAGAGACTTGGCAGGATAAAGCATAAGGATCACAAGTTCAAGGCCAGGCTGGGCAAYTTAGCAAGACCCTGTCTCAAATATTTAAAAAGTCTGGGCATGTCTCAGTGGTAAAGAGCCTCCGGGTTCAAACTCCACTACCAAAAAGAATCATGCAAAAATGAGGCACCATGGGATGTTTCAGTACGTGGATATATGGTGTGTTTCTGGCAGTTGTTAAGAGGGCTCTGTGCACTCAGCTGTGAACATGGGAACCAGGAGGAGGGCAACAAGCAGAGGACAACAGACAGACAGACGGACAGAGTCAGCACTGTGGCCTCCCCTCTCGGGCTCAGCTTCTTCCCCTCAGGGCAGCCTGCCCCCCAGGTCTCTTCCAGTTTCTGGATAGCCTGGTCCAACCCCAAAGACCAGAAGCGGGAGGGCCCTGGCTTCCGGGTACATGGGGGCAGGTCTAGCCAGAGGCCAGGGCTGACCAGGGCTCTCTCGCGGCTCCAGGGCCCAGCCTGGCACCCAGCTCTCTAAGCAGATGGTTCAGGGCCCAGGTTCAAAAACTAAAGCAAAGTAGCCTCCAGGGCCCGCTGGGCACCTGGTCCCCTGGGGTGGGACTCCCTCCTTTCACAGGTCTTGGAGAGAGGTCACTTCCCCACCCCTGTGTGGCACGGCAAAGGGTGCAGACAGGCTGCCCAGCGGAAGGCCATGCGAAGCCAGAGGCAGGAAGGGTGGGGCCTGGGCCTTCTGCCCAGTTCCTCCCAGGTGCCCAGTGCCAGAGTGCCGCCAGGAGGGCTGGGACCCCAGCAGCTGAAGAGCACAAGGTGCAGCCCCGCCCTGCCCMTGCCACAGCTAGCTCCGCCTGGCAGGCAAGTGTCTGCCTTCCTGCTCTCCCCRGCCCCACGCTCCTGGGATGCCCTAGAGAGAGGGGCCCAGCTCACCTCCTCCCTYCTCTCCCCACTCCCTGCTGGTTCC